GTCAGCTGAAAAAATTTCAACAGTATTCACATGGCTACATATATCTGAATCTTGGGTGTCCACTTGCTTACCAACATCAACCTCCAGCACTCCAGTTCCTGAAAATAGCTTGAAGGCTTTAGCAAAATTGCTGCCATGGTCTATAACAGGGGTGGGGAACCTCAGGTCTGGGGGTCGGATGTGGCCCTCTGCTTGCCTGGATCTAGCCCCTGAGGCTTGCACTCCAGTCCCCTTGCCACCCCTCCCCCTCCCACGCCCCACTGGGGCTGGAGAACAAAAAATAATACTAGCCTAGGACCGCCTAGGTTCTGGTGCACAAGGGGAATGTGGGAAGTGTCTTTCTCCTTCTCAGTCAAGGACCACGTCAGTGAGGGTTTGTTTGGTTTGTTTGCTTCTCACTTGTATGCAGCCCCTGATTGATTTTTCTGTGGGTCAGCAGCCCCTGACCCCAAAATGGCTCCCTCCCCTGGTCTATAACCACATGTGTTATTTTTGTCAAGTCCAATTGAGCTGTGGGTAGATCTCAGTCAGACTTGTACCAATGTTTTCCAACAAAGCACCAGCAGCCTAAGACTGATGACTCTTTTGTAAGGTTAGCTGAGTCAATCCACTAATTGGTAACACACATGCAGCTTCTTACTTGATGTATCCACACGTCTTAAGTTGTGCAAACATAAGATGCAGATGTACACTTGTTTTAACTGTTTCAAGAATCAAGTTCTGCTATCCCACTAATGATTTTTTTTAAAAAAACACACGTTTCTGTATACATAGCAGTGGCATCAGGTATAAATCTGGTGGGTAGCATGTGACAGCCACTCTCTTCAATAATCCACAGGGCAGCCAGTAGGGCCGACCACTTCCACAGGCCTACAGGCAAAGTGTGTGGGTGTGGGGGGCAGTTCTGTGCACCCCAGAAGAGGTGGGGCCAGGGCAGCTAGTCTTCAGCACAGCTCAGACTGAGGTGCTGCCTCCACAATCTTCTGAGCCATGCAGAGCAGCTCTCCAGCAGCAATGTAAAGACCCTCTGGGGCTCTGACTGCTGCAGTAGCAGTGGCAATGGCTCGGAGCCCTGGGCTCCACTGAATCACCAGGCCCTGGGGCAATTGCCCTCTTTGCCCCCTAGTGGTGGGCCTGCTAACAGCAAAAAAACTAAGCATTAGCTTATCTATTTTTAAAATGGACACTGGTTCAGAATCAGTGCTACAGGAAAATATCCAAACAGGAGGCCTTCTAATTTTGGATAACCCCTGATGCTGTGAACAGTCATCACCTGCTTACTTGCATCCAAAATCCTTCTTTCCACATAATCAGGTATATCTGTATTACAGGTTATGAAGAGTTGCTTTCTACTGGCCCAATCATAAGAACTGAATCAGTCAACCGTGTGAATATCAGATTATAAAACACCTGTACTGTCCAAAAGGCTTCAAACCAAGGCTATAATTAGGGTTAAATTAAGGTTTTTTTTTTTCAGATTTAACGGTAAGCAACTGCTAATTTGGACTACTGTGCATGATTTTCAGGAAGTCTTCAAGATCTGATAGACCATATTCTTTAATAAAATATAAGAATAATACAGTACTGGTGACTAAAGTTTGCAGTGTTTTCTTAAATAGTTGAGGTATAAATAACTTCTGAAAGCTGAATATATACAATCTAAATATCCATCTTTGAAACAAGCCAATGTGCTATTTGTTTTATCTCTCCTCATTTGTTTTATCATTATGCCTTTACAGCGTCAAATTAATTAGCCATGTAAGAAGAAATCCTTTATCCACAGAGCAAGTACAGGCACAGTCAGTGCCAGAATGAATTCCCTCTACTTCCCCATCATTTATCTTAAGTTTGACTGGAGTAGCAGAGAAAAATGGCTCCATGCCCATACACTTTTTGGTGTTTCTTCTGAGAATACCAATCAGTACAACTGTTAGGTCTAAGTGTGGTCGTGGGCTATAATTAAGCAACCAATATGTTGCATTTAGACCTCTGCCCAGATGTTAAACTGCTGCTCAGGGTTATACTAGATCTGAGGCTGAGTCCTTTTGTCCCATTACCAGTTATTTCACCCATCCAATTCCCCAGATCATTGTCAGTATTTGTAAGGTCAATCAAAAGGCATGATTTAGAGAACTTTAGTAACATTTTAATATACATCTCTCATTCCCTTTACATCCTTGCCTTTTCCTTCATCTCTCTCTCTCTCTCTCTCTCTCTCGCTTGCTTCCCATATCTTTTTTTTCTAATTCCTTCAGTGTATCAGTTTCAGTACAGATCCATCTTATCTCCATGGAAATAACTGAACTTGGGAAATTTCAACTTTGGAGTCCTGAGTATCTAAAATGTTATATGCAGGATATTATAGCTATATAAAGGATTTATGCAAAACTCAATATGTATCCATGATGACTTTGAAGCCAGAAATATGCAGCATGCAAGGGCTGAAATCCCAGCCCTACTAGAGTCAGTGCCAAAGATGTGATTGACTTCAAGATTTCATCCAAAGCATACCTACATTTACAGATTAATAATACTGTGTCAAAATTAGGTATTAAAAATACAAAGGATTAAGTGAGACATCTGTTATAGAATTTCAAGTCCTGATGGTGAACTTCAAAAGTGAGACTTGTCTAGAAAATCATCCAAAATTTCAGATGTACTATTTGAATTTTCCTAAATTTTAGACCCTGAAAAAGTGGACAAGAGATCTCATGGGAACAGGCTTTTGTATTAACCTGAACTCTATTGAGTATATCTGTAGTATCTGAATTACCCCCATGTATTTATCTGCACAATACCCTTATGAGATAGAAAATTATCTCAATTTGCCTTTGGGAAACTGGCCAACAGAGAGATTGTGACTTGTCGAGTGTTAAACGGGATGGTTATGAGAGACCTAGGAACGGAACACAACTCTTCTACATCCCTCTGCAATCCCATCACCATAAAAACGCCCCCGATGCCCTTTTACTTCCATTCTTCTCTCCCTCCCACTGAAATATGGTGATAATTGCCTTTCCTATATCATTACAGCATTTTTTATTAGAGACCAATCTGGAATCTGAGGTGCAAAGATATTTAAAAATGTGAAGCGAAAAAGTGCATCTGAACCTTACAGTTCAGGTTATATTTTAATTCTGGAAATGAACAAAATATTAGGGACATTCTTTTTATCAATTGTTTAGGCCCTAATTTCCATCTCTAGTCATTTCTTAACTAAACAACTACATGCTTCTGTTAAATTGAGTAGAAATAATTTCCCTGTTAGAATAGTCAGTTTAGATTTAGTAGGAGACCTTGAAGACCTCAGTTGGTGACAGTTGTATTGCCAGCAGCTAAATTCCACTTAATGAATTTTCTCTGGTATAAACAGATAAAGTTATTCCTCCTTTTGCTCTCGAGAGTTCCTTTATTTTTTCCATTAGCTTCAGAGGGGTAGCTGAGTTATTCTGTAACAGGAAAAACTTAAAAAACACATAGAACTAGTAGCACCTCAAAGACTAACAAAGCATGGAGATGGTACCATGAGCTTTCTTGGGCACAGCTCAGTTCTCCAGATGACAGGAGTGTTAGAAGTCCAGATCCAAGAATAAATAAGGGAAGTGAGGTGGAGGGAGAAGGGGGGGAAGAGGAAGAAAAGGAGGGGGAGGAAGAAAAGAGAGAGTAAGAAGATAAGCTTCAGAGGGGTAGCTGAGTTAGTCTCTAACAGGAAAAACTTAAAAAACAACAGTCTAGTAGCACCTTAAAGACTAAATAGTTACAAGAGGCTGATAAGAACCATTAGTACTTCCATTGTTTGGTTGGTAAGTTAAGTCACAGGATGTTGAAGGAAGCGTGTGAGCCAGCTGACGTCTTTGCTCATACCAGTTGCATAAGAATTAAACTTGTAAATGAAGGTTTTATCATTGTTGTGAATAGTAAGTAGACTCAAAAGCAAGACTCAATATTTGAAACTTACTGAACTTTAAGTAGAACTAAAATAAATTACTAATATAAAGAATCAGAACATTCAGTCCCAGTCTAGTCTCATGTTTTTTCCCCAGATTTTTTTAATAAAATGTGTAACAGCAAAAATAGCCAGTGATGGATGTGATAGCCATAGACTTAACCATGCAGAAATGATGAAGATTAAAGTATATAACATTTAATTGAGGACCTATTACATAAACAATTAAGCATATACAGGATGCTACAAGCATGTTTATAGATGACAACTGAATATTTAAGTGTGAATAACATGTGTCCTTTAGGAGGATGGTCAAGTTTTCTGTGGTTATGTGCCAGACATTTACAAAATAAAAGCCAAAGCTTAAAGTCTTTCTTGGGCTGTCATAAGAAGCTAGACAACTTGTTATAGCACCTCCCTACCCCGTGCCTGAATTCCAAATGTCCATATGCCACTTCAAATTTCTGTTTGGCCTCATTTCATTGTTTTTATTAGAATAGAATGAATTCCTGGGGGATGGGCCTAGGAAGAACACTAGTCATTCAGTCTAGGGCTCTGGTTCAACTTGACTGAATTCAACCCCCTCCTTTTTTAATTTGCAAACCTTGAGAACAGCTATGGCTTTTTCAGTCACACAGAGTATATTGGGTAGGGCACTACTCCTAAAGCTCCACCCAAGATTGTATGTACACTGGACTTTCATGGCAGAGCATTGTGGCAGTACGAGAGTTTGACAATCCATTATGTGTGGGGTCAGAGTTCTAAACTCAGACACCAAGCATCATAATCTGACACTTCTGAAATAATTAGAATTGTCAGTCCACTTGATAGTGACTGGAAGCATTTGACTACCAAATATATTTGCAGAAACTTCAACCAGATCATCAATGATTTTGCAAAGCCAAACCATTCCCAAATTTGCAAAACTATTTGACTTAGCATGTAATTCCATTTTGGACTTTTCCACAGGGGTGTGATGAATTGAACAAAGACTTCCCACCTCAGGGAAATTCTATGTAAGGGAAGGGAAATAAACAACAATTGTCTTCAGCAGGCATTACAGACTGTTCCCGATTGCAAGAGGATACACGAAAACACCTGGAAACAAAAGGACTGCCACAACAGGGTGGAGAAGAGCTGCAGGACCCAGGTCAGAAAGAACAGCTCTGGCCTGAGAAGGAGTTTACCTGAAGTAAGAACTAAGGTAAGGAGTTATGCTTTGTAACAATTTCCGTTAGAGTATTAGCTGTAGCTCGTATGCTTTGTTTTATTTTGCTTAATAATTAACTTTGACCTGTCTGCTATCACTCGCAAGCACGTAAATCCTACCTTGTATACTTAAAAACGTCACTTTTGTTTGTTATTAAAACCAGTGTAAATAATTGTTACCTGGGGGAACAACAGATTTGCATATCTCTTTCATTGATAAAGGTGACAAACATCTTTTTGAGCTCACTCTGTGTAAACTTTATGAATAGTGATATGGATTTCTTTGGTGTTTTGGTCCCATTGGGACTGTGCACCTGGGTGTTGTGTCAAGTCCAAGGGACTGAGCCTTCCCAGACCTGACCTGATCTCAGTGTCTGTGTTGCTCTGCTGTGACCAGTGTTCCCTCTAAGCTGGGCAGTAGCACAGCTTCACAAGTGATTAATCAGTCCCACCCTGTCAGCTCTACAAGGAGCCTTGAGCCTCTGTCTGGGTGGGGCTGATTAATCACCTGTGAAGCTGTGCTGCCACTCAGCTTCAGGGGCGGATATAGGGCAGGGTGAATGGGGCGGTCGCCCCGGGCCCCGCGCTTCAAAAAGCCCTGCGCATGCGCCGTGGCGCCATCATGCATGTGCCGTGGCAAAGGGGGGGCCCATGAAATTATGCTGCCCAGGGCCCCGCAAAACGGTCATCTGGCCCTGCCCAGCTTAATCACCCATGGGGCTGCACTGTGATGCAGCATAGAAGGAACACTGGCTGTGATCCCAATTTTGTGCAATTGCTGGGGAGACCAGAGGTTCTGGCTCAGTAAGATAGGGTGGTGGTGTATCCCAGAGGTGGGCCCAGCAGTATTTCCAGCACACCAAGTGACAGTCTCAAAGGGATCTCGGTGGCAGAACCCCTCACAAGATGTATTGCCTGTCTGCAGAAGCTTAAATTGCCTGCATTCATCTCATTAGAGTTAAGCAAAACTGAAATAAAACATCTTAAATGCAATATTGACTATAGTCAGCTGATGATTTTAGCAGAAACCACAAGCTAATATACTAATTTGAACCAGTTTCCCTTTTCTCCCCAGATATCCCCTATTACTGTCTCCCCAGCTGCCAGAATTGACAGGCACTTCCTAACAGTATCTATGATGCTATTAGCCATTTTCAGTACAAAAATATATAGCTTTATTGAAGGCTGCAATAGTGGGGACAGCATTCAATGAATGTAATGTACATCAGTATAAATAACAGGACTACTGCTGTAGCCATGTGGCTGAAATGGGGCCTTAACCAGTGTAATGTGCACAGTGTACCTTGCCAGCCATCCTTTCTGACTATCAGAAAGGAACACCGTAGTGCTGTGGGTGAAGATGCATTAAGTAGACTGTGTGTTATTAATGTTAAAGCAGGAAGAGATGAGAAGGACCCTTGTGACTCACTAATGTCACCCTTTTACCCTTAGGATTCTTTTCTTTAATTTAAGAGTGTAAGAATGGGTTTTGTATTATGGAAGAATTTGTAATGGTAATAATTTAATCTTAGAATATTTTGTATTACATCTGTTTTTACAAAGGCAATCATGTAATCCTTTCTTGTGTGAAGTAAACAAAGTTACATAGTTGTATGAGTGAAGAATGTGAGTGTGTTTCAAAAGAGATTAGTTTGAAGGCTAGCACAGCATGCAGGTGATCAGAGGAGGAGCCAGAGACTTGGAGGCACAAAGGAACTACTGAATGTGCCCATACTATTTGGTGATGGATAAGGAGTAGATTGGTGATCCTGAATTTTGGTGCAAACACTCCCAATGTGTGAATATAACACATTCTGTCACAACTAGCATGAGGCAACCCAGAAAAGTTGTCAGCAGATTGATATTAAACAAAAATAAAAACAATCCTCTGATAAACATATGTTGCAGAGTGACTGATTACAACATGGTGCAGCAAAATGCATAGATTTGCATCAGAAGGGATTCCTATAAAATATGGGATGTTTTGCATGGTTCTTTGAGTCTTTGTCTTGTTTAAAACTGGAGCATCAGTCTGGACTAATGGGAGCCAAGCTTCTTTTTCGCTACAGCCTAATTGGTCACTAGGCTGATGCAAATGACAGAGTGGTTACAATAACAAGTGTGCATGTGCACTTTTTACTTAGTAATCTCAATAAATATGTGTATTGCCTGATCTCCTAAAAGGATCCCTTGTGCTTCTTGTAAGCCTAACACTCATCTGATGCACCCTTTTCCCATTTAACTAAATATCAAAATGTATCTGTAGTTGTCACAGGTATTTCATCAGAATATTGCAGAACGTGGTGACCTTACTACAGAGTTTAAATTCTGTAGTAAGGTCACTGGATTCTGCAGTTTGTCATAGTGTACCTGGGCCTTGCATACCATATACATCCTGTAGCCTACAAACAAAAAACATTTTCAACTGAGGAATGAAGTGATTTAAAGATAAATCTTGCTTCTTTCTAAATATTTTTAGTGTTACAGAAAATAAGGCATGCATCTGCTTTATTTTAACCAATTAATTTCTATTTGAGGGTTTTTTGGAGGGGGTTGGGGGTAGGGATGTATACATATCCAAAAGCCAGAATGCTGAATAAATGCAGCAATGAATAAATAGTCACATTCTTTCAGTATAACACTGCATGGTTTCAGACAGGGAAGGTGAGTGTGCATTTGTTTAACTCAAGCCTGAGATTGTGACTCTGAAATAGAATTTTTCTGTTCACATCAGAACTATATGCGCTTCAAAATTTGTAATTGTAATTCCATATCTTAGCTATGAAATATTATGTCTTGCGTAAGAAGTTCTGTAACAGTTACTCATTTAGATTGGTTTCCATGGAAACAAGGAGAGGGAACTTTAATTTTATCCCATATGTCTATCCTTTCATTAACACTGGAGAGAGACTACATACTATAACAGTCACTCTGTGGTTGGTTAAACTTTTTTCCAAAATGTGAATTCAGGTTTCTCCTGCCACAGTTACTTTCACTCTCATGGCTACAGGCCTAGCTGCACCTCTGCAGCTGTCTCTTTTCTGGTCTTTGAGAATGTCTACAGTTAAGTTAAATTCCTGTGATTGGCCTGTGACAGATGGCTCAGGCTTGTGGGGCTTGAGCTACAGGACTTGGGACCCCATGAGGAGGGAGGGTCCCCCAGCCTGGCCTCCAGCCTGAGTCAGGTTCTACACAGCAAGTATTAGCTACACTGCCTGAGTAAAGGCCAGCCAGAACCATGCCACTGTTCCAGTATAGGCATACCCTGAGTGCACTCTTTCAGGGGTGGGGTGTGTGGGTGTGCAGGAATCAGGTCAGGGAGCCGAGGCTCTGGGAGAGGGGGGTAGCTAGGGCAGGGTGTGAAGTTTATATGTGTGGGCAAGGGTGTCCTTTAGGAAGCATGAAGGACTGAAGCCTCCTTATTCCTACTGACACTGTTTGTTGCTTGCTGTTCCCCTTCTGCTAATATTAGGAAGTTAGAGGGGCCACTCACTCCTCTGCCCCCTGCTTGCACAAGCCAGAAGGGAAAGCAATGCAGGGATGCTGTGTTAAGTCCTCTTGCTCCTGACAGAGATGGAAAGGGATCAGCAAACAGTATCAGTAGGAATCAGGGGGCTTCAGGCCCCCCATCCTCCCAAATAGTGCCTGGGGGAGGAGGACTCAGGTAGTCCTGGACCAGTGTAGGGCACACCCCTAGCCAGCCCCTTTCAGCTTCCTGCTGCCTAACATGGCAGCCTGAAGGAGCACCCAGCTGGGACAGTGCCCTATCTCCTCCTGCAGCCAAGCATCCCAGCTAGCTCTTACTGGAGTGGACTAGAGGGGCTCACTGGCTTACTTTTCACCTCCGGGTAAGAAAGGGTTTTAAAAAGCCCACACACATCTTAAAGGCTTGCCACTTCCTGTTGGTGATCAAGGCAGGCCAAATCTGTTCAGGCCCCCCACTGTCAACTGGATGCTCCCACCCAGATAACTAGTTTCCTTCTCTGAGAGAATGTTCCTTTTTAAACCTCCCATAGTTCTTTTAATTTCTTGTGTTTCCAGGTCTTTCCCTGTCCTGGTATCGTCTCAACAACTCTCAAGATACTTATCTTGAGCCAGGCCTTTTCCCTCCTGCTTGTTTCCCTGACGGACCCCTATTAAACTAGGGCTATGTCTAGACTGCAGGCTTCTTTCGAAAGAGGCTCTTTCGAAAGCATCTTTCGAAAGAGCCTCTTTCGAAAGATCGCGTCTAGACTGCAGGCGGATCTTTCGAAAGAGAAATCCGCTTTTTCGAAAGAGAGCACCCAGCGAGTCTGGATGCTCTCTTTCGAAGACGGCCTCTTTACATTGAAGAACGCCTTCTTTCGAAAGAGGAACTTTCGAAAGAAGGCATTCTTCCTCGTAAATTGAGGTTTACCGCCATCGAAAGAACGCGGCTTGAGTCTGGACGCAGGGGAAGTTTTTTCGGGAAAAGGCTACTTTTCCCAAAAAAAACCCTGAGTCTGGACACGGCCTATATGAATGTTGTTTCCATTTTATGGTGTTTGAAGTAGCATTTATTAACTTTTTGGTTACTGGAAAACTTTTTTTTAGTAAATAAGGTTTAAAAATATCAATTCAAAATGTCACCAGAACTGCAAAAGTATCCGGTTTTACATTTTTCCATGAGGCCATTTTTAAAAAGAAAATCCCTTTGTTTAAAAAAGCAGACCAGTTCTCAAAAATGCCATTTCTTGCAGCACCTACATTTTTCTTGCAGGTCTTATCCAGGGGTGTGTCTAAACTACATGGCTCCATCGACGGAGCCTTGTAAATTAGTGTACTCAGAAAAGGGAAATGAGTACATTTAAATCAAAATTGCCACCGCGCTGCCCCGATCAGCTATTTGTCGGCACAGCATGGCAGTCTAGATGGGGATCTGTCACCCCAGAACCCTTCGTCGGCAGATCCTTTATGCCTCAAAACATTTCTAAAAAAGAGTGGAGAAAGAGCCTAATGAAGGCAAAGTAGGAGCAG